CCCGGGAGTGGGTTTGGAACACACTGGTTGCCGCTCCTAGGGACTATTGCATAGTCGTGTAAAATGTCATGCGGTTACATGATTATTCAGTTACACACGATCTAACTTCCCGGATTTATACCACATTTATATATAACAGTAAAAAAGCATATTTTGTTCAGACAACTGTCTGTAGCAGGAAGGTACTGCAGTTGAGTTAGAATTCATTTTACACTTAGCTGCATATTTTCATGATCCTAGGGACTATTGCATAGTCGTGTAAAATGTCATGCGGTTACATGATTATTCAGTTACACACGATCTAACTTCCCGGATTTATACCACATTTATATATAACAGTAAAAAAGCATATTTTGTTCAGACAACTGTCTGTAGCAGGAAGGTACTGCAGTTGAGTTAGAATTCATTTTACACTTAGCTGCATATTTTCATGATAGGTGTACATGATAGTACTGTACCACAGTCTGAGCCACAAACTGATTTAAGATCGTAACATTATACTATCTCTGTCCTATTCCACTTGTAGTGCTATTAAAAAGTATTCAAAAATACCATGAAATTATTAATGAACTCACATGAAAACTACTGACAGCTAATTATACTCCAAAATGACACCCTATTTTACTAAATAGTTAGGCTGTCAATTGCAGTTAACTCAAGCGATTTAATGCAAAACAAATTAACTAGATTTAAAGAGTCACAATGAATTGCAGTTTTAATCACAATGTTAATAACAGAATACCAGTTTAAATTATAAATATTTTGGATGTTTTTCTATATTTTGATTGTAATTACAATGCAGAACACAGTGTACAATGCTCACTTTATATTACTTTTGATTAGAAATAGTTGCAATGTAAAAGAAACAAAAAAGGAGTATTATTCAATTTACTTCATACAAGTACTGAGTGTTCAATCATGAAAGTGCAACTTACAAATGCAGAATTATTTTTATGTAACCTCACTAAAAAAAACGAAGCAATGTAAAATATTAGTGCCTACACGTCCACTTTGTCCTAATTCTTGTTCATGCAATTAAATTTGTTTGCATTTATGGGAGATAATGCTGACCATTTCTTATTGAAAATGTCACCTGAAAGCAAAAACAGGCAGTGTTTTAGCTGATGTTGTAAGGTATTTGCATGGCAGGTATTCTAAACATTCGCATTGCCCCTTCACAATTCAACCACCATTCCAGAGAAACTTCCATGCATAATTTAAATTGGTATTGTTAATCAAGTAATTATGACTCTTCATCTCATGATTAATTGCTATTATTGTTTTTCATCATCTGACAACCCTATTAAATAGCTACATGATTTGCTAGTGTGCTCCCTAAGTAAATACATACATTCAATCTAATGTAGTAACTTTGGGTATGGTTTCGGTTCCGCTTTATGTTCTCAGATATTGTTATAAGCTTCTGAGACATTTACTCTAACATCAGATATTTAGCTTCTCTCTGCCAAGCAAAGAAGTGACCAATGTAATTGACAGGCAATTCATTCTCTTTGATAGTTGATTTTTAAAATCAACAATAGCTTTACCTGCATAATGTACAGGGATTTCTATCTTTGGCCCTATGACATAATGACCCTCCTCCAGACTATGAGCTGTAATTGTTGTCCACTGCCGACATGAATGAATCACAAGGTAATCATTTTCTCGAAGGCCTTCTACAGCATCCCCTGCAAAACAGATGTAATTTTATATCAGATTAGCTGCAAAATGAAATACTAAGCTTTGTGATATACAACTTAAAATAAGTCATTTATTCAGCATTACTGTTTACTGTCATGATTAAGTATTTTAATACCCACCTTAAATATCAAATAGTTTCTGAAGACAGGTTATAATATACGTTTTCATTTAGCAATTTACTCTTACAACTTCAGAAAATAAATGTAATTATAGTATTTATATATTAGAAACATTTAATATAGTTACTCAGCAGCAGCTTTAGGGTTTTTATGCAGAAGCTAGAATGAGAAGACTTTTTGGCCTCCGTTTATTTTTATTTAGCTCCCTTAAAGAAAAGTACAATACAGAGATAACCATAGGGTTGGCAAGCCTTTGGTTTTTTTAGTGGAACACCCAATCGAAGAGAGACCCTGGTGGCTCCTGTTAGCATCACTGGCCAGGCCACTGAAATTTCAGTCAGCAGTAAAGCAGGGCCAAGGCAAGTTCCCTGCTAGCCCTAGCTTTGCATGGCTCCCAAAAGCATCCGGTATGTCTCTGTACCTTCTAAGCACAGGGGCAATGAGGGAAGCTCCCCATGCTGCCTCCATCCTGAACACTGGCTGTATAGCGCCCATTGGCCAGGAACTGTGGCCAATGGGAACTGCAGGGATGGCACCTGTAGATGGGGCAGTGTGCAGAGCCACTTAGCCACCCATGACCCTAGAGGCACAGAGACATTGTGGCCATTTCCAGGAGCCATGGAGAATCAGGACTTAGACCCACTGCACCCCCAAACATGATCCATCTGAGATAAGAGCTGCCTGGCTGGAGCCCAAACCTCCACCCACACGCTAATCCCCTTCCCCAGTCCAGAGAACCCTCCCAGCCCCATACGTCACACCCCAATCCACTATCGAGCCCTGAGCCTGCTCCCAAACTCCAAACCCCTTGGCTCCAGCCCAGAGTTCATTCCTGCCCCTCAAACCGCTCATTCCCAGCCCCACCCCAGAGTCCATAACCCTCTGCCCTAACCCCTGAAGCCATTCCCACATCCCAAACCTCTCATCCCCAGCTCTACCTCAGAGCCTGCATCCCCACCCTCAAACTAGACCCCTCACTCCCTCTTGCTCCCCAACCCCTTGAGCCAGCCCAGTGAAAGTGAGTGAGGCTGGGGGAGAGCAAGCAATAGAGAAAGGAAGGGATTGAGTAAGTGGAAGCAGGACCTTAGAAAAGGTGTGAGGTAGGGAGCAGGGCAAGGATGTTCGGTTCTGTGCGATTAGAAAGTTAGCAATCCTGGATAACCAGTGGACTTACTCACAACTTAATGGGGGTTTTGCAGCAAGTGCTGGGAGGGAACAGAACAAGGGAAATCTTCCCCACCCCATACACATAAACTGGGATTGTCTGTACAAAACCAACATTAATTGTTCTTGAGAAATATCGAGTTACCGACCAAGACATTTTGTTTCTAAGCAAAAAGTTCATTTCATCATCCACCTTTGCGATATGCTCAATCACAAACTACAAGTAAGCACAATTCTGCACATTAAAGAGAAGCAGCACTTATAAAAGCTCATCAAGTATCTCCCACTGTGCTACACAGTACTGTAGTGATTCCATGTTCTAATCAAGAAGATAGCAATGGAACAAAAACCTCTGAGGACAGACTAACACAACATGGTACACTCGCACAGAAACCTGAACTCAGATGGATCTCAGTTTGCATATACACAGATATTGCTGGCAAACCAAACTATCATTTAAACATCAATGAAAGTACTCAGATCAACATTTTGGTTGCACTAATACTTGCTTGCTTTAATCCTGTTTAGTAAAGCAATTTAAGCAGGTGTCGTAGACTAAGGTATAATAAATCATATAGAAAATATGACATAGTACCACATTGTTATAAGTGTCCTAAATAAGAGGATACTGTCCTCCCACAGGTTCAATCCATTTAGGGAATGACATCCATTTTGTGCTCTAGACTGTTCTACAAGAATTTGCAGCCATATCAATTACAGTGAACAGGTCACAGCATATACGTGCTGGGCGTAGGAAGATATTTCAGTTTAGTCATTCTACCCTCTTCCCACTCACTACCCAGTTGGTGATTCCTGCTATTAGAAGCTCAATATCCTGCAGTCTTTATACCAACATTTGCTAAGGTTGAATTGAATGAAAATGCAAGGTGAACAAGAAATGTAAAACCAACCCTTGCTAAGCGGTTTTGTCAAATACCTTTCCTTTGTCTGTTGGAAGGTGTAAAGCCCCTCCAAAACATTCCAAATTCATTTCCCCATAACTGTCCAGCACTTTCATCTTCTATGGGTGTCCCTGCCAAATTTCAGATGCACATACCACTCACTGTTTTTGGTCAGGACAAAAGCATTTGGCATACACAGCGCCTGTGAGAGTCATGTCATGTGACCATTCAAAGCAGCAGACAAACCAGCACAATACAAATTTCAAAGAATAACAGATCTCATAATGTAAAACAAAAATACAAAGTAGTCCCTAGATTCAAGATACCTAACTACAGCACCTCACACACCGGAGTTCTATGGCCATAGCATTTACATTACAGTCAATCTAACAGTTCATATGTCATAATCTGTCTCCTATACAGCATGTTGCTCTTACCTACCTTCAATCATATTCAGTCTTACCCATAGGAAGCAGCCTTAAGGCAAATCCATTCTCTCTTTCCACCAAAGAGTCTTTAGAGACTGATGTGTAGCCTACATAAGCCAGAAGTAGTGGAGCAAAAATGCCATCAATTTTAGGTTTTATTTCCCCTCCCCACACAAGTCATGGCCAACAATCTTTCATATTGCAAGTCCTCTTCCAATCTTGCTATCAAATCTGACAATACATATTGTCTTCAGCTACTACAGAAGCTCATGTATCTTGTTCCTTGAACTAGTTCTCCAACTTCTACCATGGAGATAATTAGTGCAAATTTCTCATACTTTTACCATTTCAAAACTTTATTTTCCCTGGTGGGGCTCTTCACAAAGTACAGGCAGTCCCCGACTTACGTGGATCCGCACTTACGAACGGGGCTTTCTCGCCCCGGAGGTCAAGGTGGCGGATTGCTGCCTGCGAGCTCCGGGGTGAGAAAGCCCCGTTCGTAAGCTGCTCCAGTGCCCCTGGTCTGCTGGAGACCGTCCCCAGCAGACCACAGGCACCAGGACTGAAGCGGCAGCAGCGGCGGTTCCCCGCGCTTCTGAGGCTTTGCTCTGGCAAAGCCTCAGAGGCACGGGACCCCCCCGCGGCTGCGGCTTCAGTCCAGGAGCCTGTGGTCTGCTCTGGCAAAGCCTCAGAGGAGAGCGCGCAGCTAGTGTGCCCCCCCCAGCAGACCAGGCTTTTGTTGTGGACCCTGGGGCAGAGCAGCTGGGGCGCTGCCGATTGGTCCTGCAGCGCCCCTT